TTGGTTTCATGTCTCCCAGGAGGAAACAGCAGCAGTGCTGTAATTCATCACAGGACTCAGCTCTTCAGAACCTGTCTGCATTGACCAGTGAAGATCTTCTTGCCTCTGCGGTTCCCTAACAGCATGTCTCTAGCTGAAGTGTTATCATGCTGCTGCGTCATGCGGCCACACCGGCTTCCAGTGACTCTCTCAAAGTCATCAACGCAAGTCTTCCCCAGAGGATGCAGGAAAATGTGAGCCAATACGGTATTCATTTTCTGGTCCTGTTAAGTTTCCCATTCCGAATTTTACAGTGTAAACATACAACTCATCTTCTAGTCGTGTCTTCTCTTGGCCTCCTGCAGTGGTGATCACTGTGCTCCTAGAATGAGATCTCTTGGTGTCGAACGCACCTCGGCCTTCCACACACCACCAGGGAGGGTAGCAAGGGGCCGTGCACAAAGAGAGAAGAGCAGTCCACTCCTGCAAGAAATATCCTTGCTTCGCCAGGCAAGCTTAACACTGACAGGGAGAGCACGTCTGGTTGATCCCGTTTTCAGGGCGCAGGGCCTGAAGTCACTGTGAAAGGGAGAAAGGATGAGTGTGGCGCACGGGGTCTGGGTCTGGGCCAGGGGCATCTGCTTGGAGAACATTGACAAGACTGGCAGTGCCAGGCCCCGAGAAGGACTTAGAACATTCAAGGAAAGCCCTCCACAGTCCTGGGGAGGGGTCTGTGGCGGCCCCATGACAGTTGCCCTGTTGGCCTGGGACTGCCCCTCTCCTCTGAAAAGGCTGGCTCAGCCACACGCACAGGGCACTCCACTGCAGTCACTCATCGGACGTGGACCGGGCCGAGGACTGCCCCTGCAAGGCCCTGAGACGAGGCAGCTCCTGATCGGCAGTTGTGAGGAGAAGAGTCACGGAGTCTGGAGGGACAGGCCAGTGATGCCAGGTCCCAGAAAGTGTCAGCAAACAAACACTTATTGAGGGTGAGGAATGCCCCTAAGGAGCCAAATCTATTTTCAGCAAGGGCCAGCACTGAAGTGGGCAGCCTTGGTGGCAGGAGCCCTGCCGAGCCTCCGAGGAGCAGGGGGGCTGAGCCACTGAAAAGGGCCCACAGACACTCTGGCTCCTTCAGAAAACACTGGGGGAGAGCATGTGCCAGGCACCGTCCCGAGGCAGGGGTAGAGACAGCACCTGTGGGCAAAAGCGGACAAAGTCTCTGCCCAAAAAGGGTCTGTGTGCTAGCGGGGAAAACAGGGAACAAGCAGGAGAAACAGGAAAAATGACATAGCAACAGTGAAGATGGCAAATGCTATGGAGAAATAAGAAGCAAGGAGGGTGGGCAAGAGTGCCGCCACTGCCAGGTAGGTGGTCTGGGAGTCTGCGCTGGGCACGGGGCTGGAGCAAAGGTTTGAAGGCAGAGGGGATGTTGAGGTGTCTTGGAAAAATGTGAGGGATGGTAGCATTCCTTCCCGTGGGTTTTCACTCAACACTTAAATGTTAGGATGTGCTCGAGTTGTTAGGGCAGCTACCCCTGAGGCTGCTTGGACACCACAAACAAGACACAGCCCAAAGACGCGCATCTGTTGTCACGAAGAGGCGGGGATGGGGCTGCTGTCTGGAGCTGAACTGGCCAGAGCCCCCATGCAACGTCCCTAAGCCTGACCCTGAGCAACCCTACCTTTGGCCACATCTTTGTCTTTGGACTACCGGAACACCATGTCCCCTGGCAGCTCCACAGTCCCTGATCTGAAGGACGCCGCGCCCCAGTGGCTGGCTGTGGAAAGAGACATGCAGGCACGGCCCTCCCTGTCCACCGTCAGAGGCTGCTCGCTGTGCCCGCCCCCGGGTCTCCAGGATGTGCTCTCAGACCTACTCGGACCCTGTGCGGCGCGAAAAGAACCAACACCAGCAGCACGTCCTGGGTCACAGCACACCAGATGGCACACGAGCCAGGGACTGTGGGATGTGTCCCCAGCAGGGTACCAGTGATGAAGTCGCCTTCAAAACCTCCAGAGGAGGCTGGCTCCCCGTTACTCTCCATCCGTTACACGGAGAACACAGCCTGGGTTACGGAAAAGGGCCGCTTATCTGAGGAGCAGCCCCCATTGCAAGTTACTGATAGAACGAGAATGTGGTTTCAGGGACATGAATTAGGCGGCAAATACAGGATGCTCTGGAGCAGGGAAAGACTGCAGACAGAGAGTCTAGATCTCAGATGACTTTGGGGAACCCAGGATCTGATGTCGAGAATGGCAATAGGAGCACTGAGATAATGAAAATTAAATGCAAAAAGTAAAGGCCACTTTTTTGTAGATGGGAAGGAAATGTTGGACCTTGGGCTTGGTGAGTTATTTAAAATTTTAGAGCCTCCATTTCCCCACTTGAAAGTGATAGTTATACTTAATCTCTAAATTCTCACTCAGTTTAAATATGCCTAATCTATGCTTTCCTTGAACAGTTCATCACAACAGATAAAGGAGTGAAACTTTGGGGAGCATTTGCCATAAATTAGATTTAAAACTCTTCCTCTCTTCTAATCTGCTTGGAATTCAAGGATTACAATCCCATTTCAGTTCAGATCTCTTTGCCACATTTACTGAGAGACTGTAGACCAATCCCAACAACTCACCTGTTGACATTCAGAAAAGATTGCCATTTATCGGTGATTGGGAGGGTCCCCTGAGGAATCCACAAACTTCAATCACATTGATAGAGACTTCAGTTTCCTTAGGGGATAAAAAAGGAAGAGGCTCCAGGTTGACAAGTGGCAGGAAATAAAAAGGAATTTGCAAGTTCGAAGTTCTAGAGTCATTTTTAAAACATGACCAGCGCCGTTACTGCCTGCAGTTGAGGCCAGTCACTTGCCCGTCACGGTCACGGCCATGGCTCAGAGCAGGGTCATGGCTGGAATCTGAAATTCCCTGGGTAAAAGCATATCATCACATTTGCATGAAGCCAGGTTTTTACTTATATCTCAAGCCCCAACTGCAGATGACGTTCAACTTATGTAAAATTCATTTTCTTTGATTACAAGTCATAATGGTCAAAACCAAGCACTTTAGGAAGTCTGGGACAATATGGCAGTTTCAGAGAAAGGAACAGTACGACGGTCTGATAGGTGAGATTTAAGGTTGTCGAGCTGCTGAAATAAGAAGTTTCTGAGAGCTAAGCCAAATGGGTTATTAAAATTGTAATTAAACATATCTATATTTAAAACTGTATTACTAACCTGAGGATTCTACCATGAAATAACCGAATCCTAGTGACTAATGTTACCTTATTTGCATGTTCCCAGTTAATTAATCTTTAAAGGTGAAAGCCTCACACTGAGTAATTTACTCAAGATTTATAAACCCTCGTGGAGAATCTGTCTCGCTCCTCCAGAGTCACACAGCCCCCAGACGGGCACTGTCCCCAGCTCTGCCCCATGCACTGTGGGCTCTCCTCCTGCCAGACAGAACACAGCTCACCAGGGAGGAGACAGAGAGACCCTCACTACCAGCTGAATGGTAGTGCAACCTGCTTTCTAGATCGACACCAGCCTTCTCCCTACCCTCTTGGTGGCCTTCTGGAGTACAGTTTCTAATAGAACTACTAGCATGAGGAATTCATAAGACCACAAACTATAAGGAAATAAAGTAGATATAGAATCCAGCTTTAATCTATTAGGAGATTAGATTGAGAAAAAATAGATGTTTTTATAGGTGAAGAGCAATGAAATATTGGCAATTTCACGACTCCAGCTATATTTAGGAATCTTTCAATCCTGGATTGTCTTCTCACCTGAGTTTGACCTATTCCTGCTCTTCCTCCCCAGCTTCTCAGCATGTGCCTTGAAATTCCACTATCCTGAAGCCAGCTGAGTCCTTACTCAGTCCCTCTAGCTAACCCAACATCCGGCCCGTACACATTCACCAAGTGCCTTCTCCGCACCAGGGGCTGCTGCTGAGACGGGTGATGTGAGTCTGTCTTTGTCTTTGAGGAGTCCCCAGTCCAGTGAGAAATGGAAACTTTGCAAATGCACATAATCCGCTGGGTGGTAGAAATACATCCAGAGTGTTAAAGAGAATCGAGGAGCATCATGCTTAGGGGAAGGAGTGAGGAAGATTTCAAAGAGGAGTTGACATTTGTATTGTGCCTTGAAGTAAGGTAAGATTTCCTGAACAAAACAAGGGGGAGAAGGCCCTGCAGGTAAACGCGATGTCAAAGGCAGGCTCTGGGGGTGCGAAAGGGCACTCAGTGTTCGGGGAAGAGCCGACAGCTTGTAGGGGTTGAGGGTGGACACAAGGAGGGGAGAGGAGATCGGTGACAGCTCTTAAGAGTGTGATGTTCTCTTCCTTTGTCATGTGGGTAAGCAACAAAACCTTTTTTCTACATGGGGGGTGGGGGGGGCAGGGGCAATATTTGTAACCCTAACAATATTTGTACCTCCATAATATGAAATAAAAGGAAAAAAAAACTTTTTTCTAATGAGGGATGTGACATGATGCTTCTTTTTGAAATATAATTTTGCAAAATTTAGGAGTACATGTTTTCTTCCTGTGGATCTATGAGACTAGAAGGGGAGACTCAAGCAAAATGAGTAGGATGTGGGCTTTAAAAATTATCTTTATTGTTTTTTCTACTTACAAAAGATAGATTCCTTCTAAACAATTCAAATGTTATAGAAATATATAAAATGAAAATAAAATACTCCCTGTAATCCAAACCTCCCAGACCTAAACCACCATCACTATACCCATGTGCTGCTGCAGATTCCTTTAGACTCTTATTTCAATGTACAAAATAACATATTAACATAATTTTCCCATACCAATAAATATACAACTGCCTCATTCTTTTTAATGGCTATGTAATACTCTGTTACGTTAATGTACTACAATTTATTGAATCTATCTTCATTTTGTGGACATTTGGGATGTTTTCAATTTTTCACGTTTATAAACAATGCTGGATTTTTTACATAAACCTTTGCAAATCCATGTAGGTGTTTCTGTAGGATATATTATTAGAACTCCTTCCAGGAACTGTTATGAAGGCGATAACAATTTTTTTTTATTTTAACAGATATTGCCAAATTGCCATCATAAAAGTTGTATCAATTTATAGCCCAACAGTGTATGTGGCTGCAATTTCCCTAGTGGCAGGGGTTTCATAGGCAGTCTGTTGTCATCAGAGAGACAGAAGAACCTCAGGACTCTTCAGTCAGCTCTGTGAATGTGTGTAATTCACACATTTCTCTGGTGTCTGGTACATTAACATTAACAGCAGCTCAAAGCCAATAGCAGCTTGGGCCATTCCAAGTATGCTTTCTCTTCCGTGAGAGCTTTCCACCTGCAATACCTGGTAGGAATGCAGTAGAATGGAATGGGTTCCAGTAAGGTAAGAATTATATGATCAGAATTTTCATGGAAGAAGTCGTGGTGGGCAAAGTAGAGTTCATGATTGCATCACTCACTCTGGACAAAGTCGGGAGACAAACGAAGATGGACTTACAACTTTTCTCAATGAAGCTTATGGTGTTTTCACCAGTGCTCTTGCCAGGGTCAAAGTTTCTCTCAGGAAGGCAAATCAAGACAGCCGTCTTCTTTCTCTAGATTGGGGATCAATTCATTCTTTACCCAGAGAGAAACATGTTCACTGTATGAAATAAATGCATGAAATTGGACATTTCTCTTGAGTTGTTCTCAGCTGTCTTCCTAACCCTGTGCCATGTTTGTGTCTGCTGACCAAGCATCCTGAGATACTGGGGCAGATCAAAGTGGAGACAGCAGAAGGCCACAGCTATCCCCAGAACTAGCATAATAACCATGATGATAACAATCAACACAGCTGTGTTGCAGGATAATTCAGGAAGATGAATGTCCTTTAACTTAGTCCCTTTTAGATTTAAAGGATATTCACAGATGTATGAATCTGACCATCCAACCATCATGCCTTCTGAATATTTTTCAAGCTGAATGAAATTTCTTAATTCACAGGTGCACTGGAATGGATTTTTTCCTGCATTTAGAGTTTTAGCTTCCTGACAGCTCTGAAAAAAATCTAGGGATGGGCTGAGGATTAAGTTCATTTCAATATTCAGAATTGAGAGTCTCCTGAAATAACTGCACCCAGGGAGATCAGTTAGAAAACTAAATGCAATATTTAGCTCTTGTAAGGACTTCAGATGAATGATCTCTTTAGAGACAGTTTGAATTTGGTTATTATTTAGGTCAAGTATTGGAATATTTCTGGTCAAGCACCTAAAAACAGAATCAGTGAATTTATTGGATGACAGGTTCATGGTGACCAAGGTTTCTGGCCATGAGCAATTTTCATCATTTTTATGTTGTAATAGATTTTGGCTCAGATCCAAGTGCTTCAAGGGTGTATTGTTAGCAAAGCCACTCGCTAAGGAAAGTCTCTCCAGTCTATAGCCCTTCAAAATGAGAGTTTTCAAATGAGGCAATTGGATAGTTCTTTTAAACCTGTCATCTGTTAAGATATTATTAGCAAAATTTAAATACTGGAATCTTGTAGGATAAGTATGGAAAAGCATGTGTGGAATTTGTGCATTTGATATAGTCAGGTTTTCTACATCCATTTTGGTAAAAAGCAAGTAGATTTTACCCTGTGGAATATAAAAATTCTGAAATGTACATGCTCCAGTTTTATAGTTCTCAGTACAGTATTTGAGTAGTCAAATGAATTGTGGTCAAGAGAAACCTTACCTCGAAAAGCCACATTTTTGGATCTGGAAGTATTCCACTGATGAATGCCAAACAAATTGGAAGAGAAGGAGAAGGTCATCCCAGAGTAAATCAACTTTACTAAGTAACAGAGTAGATGTCTTGGCATTCTCTAAAATAAGATTTTGTTGAATTTCATAACTGACAAATTTGCTCTTGCCATCTATATTTGTCATTTCTAATATTTTTGAAGTCTTGATTCTATCATTCAAAAGAACAGAAATTTACATTTGTTGGTGAACAATGTGAAGTATTGATGCATTTAAGATGGGTAGGCTACCTTCTTCATAATGAGAAAGAGTTCTCAATGCTAAGAAGATGGTATTTAGATGCAAATGAGCAATTTTCTGGAAATCTGATTTTTGTATTTTTGCCTCACTCAAACCCAGGGTTTCCAGGAATGACATGTTGCTAGTTTCTTCACCAGTAGGCATGGTCTCAAAGTCATTAAAAGAAAGGTCTAAATGTCTGAGACTTGCCAGTGAATACCAAGTTACAATCTTCAGTCTGTTAAAAGACAAATCCAAATATCTTAACTCCTTGTTGAATTCAGAGATCGTGATATTCAGCTCTTGAATTCTGTTGTGGCATAGAATCAAAACTTTCAGGTTGGAGATAGAACGAAAATCTGAACTCTGAAGTTGCAAAAGATTATAGGATAAATCCAGTGTGGTTGTGGTAAGGGTTGTGTCTGTGGGAACCTTTCCTAGAGCCACATTAGAGCAGTTGGTAGTCACATCCCTTTCTTCCGGCAGCTTTGGCACCCAGCCCTCCACAGACAGAACAACACTACAAAATACATAAATGTTTCTGATAAGTCTCATTGCATTTCCAAGTATTTTACAACTGGTTTCCTCACATAGATGATACAGATGAGTTCAAAACCCTAGAAAGATAGCATACGATGTTAGGTTTTTATATGGTTTGTTAAATTCTGAAGGATTTTTTTTTTTTTTTTGAGACAGATCTCACCTTTGTTGCCAGGCTAAGTGAGTGCTGTGGCATCAGCCTGGCTCACAGCAGCCTCAAACTCCTGGGCTCAAGCGATCCTTCTGCCTCAGCCTCCTGAGTAGCTGGGACTACAGGTATGCGCCACCATGCCCGGCTAATTTTTTATATATATATTAGTTGGCCAATTAATTTCTTTCTATTTGTAGTAGAGACGGGGTCTCGCTCTTGCTCAGGCTGGTTTCGAACTCATGAGCTCAAATAATCCGCCTGCCTCAGCCTCCCAGAGAGCTAGGATTACAGGCGTGAGCCACCGCGCCTGGCCTGAAGGATTTTTTATTTAAAAAAAAAAATCAACATCTGACTATATTCAACAAGAGGTTGGAACAGGGTCCCAACCTGTGTATTAAGTCTTTGACTTGATCTCAGAGCCTTGGTTGATAGGTCTCTAGCCAGTTACTGTACCACGTCCGGTCACTGAGGCCAGGCAGGCTCTCAGAGGGAGAAGCATGCTCATTGGCAGAAGTGCCTCTGTCCCTAGTCAGCTCAGGAACTGCGTTGTCCAGTCAAACTCCATACCCTTCCTCACATCTCCTTTTGATGGCCTGAAGATTTTAAGAGAATTGAAAGAAATTTTTTATCACCAAATATTGTGGGCCCTTGAATTAATATCATGGATATATTCCTCAAATTTTGTATTTGTGGACACAGAAAGTCCCTGGAGCTAATATCTAACTTTCAAAAACACCCGCACACATGAAAGGTCCAAAATATAGACACGAACAGTAGGGCTCCCACCCTTATGCCTCCATATGTTTTCAAGTGGGTGACGAAAGCAATCTGGGCCACTAGCAAATAGGAGTAATAATGATAAAAAAGTTTCTTGGGGACTTTTAATGTGCCAAGATGTACACTAAATGCTTCACACATATTATCTCATTTATTTTTCACAGTACTCTGTGAGGGAAGTACTGCTGCCACCATTTATAGATGAGGAAACTCATGGAAACTCAGAATTCTGAGGAATCTGAGAGAAGAGTCAGGCTTCACATCGTATGATTAGACACAGAGTGTCTGGAAACAGTGGTTGGAAAACTAGGATTTTCACAATATTCATTATTGAAGGTATTTACTAAGTACCTGTTCTGCCAGAAAGTTTTCTAGGCACTGGGGAAACAGCAGGGAACAGAACAGAAGATTTCTGTTGCGACACAGCTTGCATTCTCGTGAAGGGGTAAGAGAGACACTGCAGGCAAACAATAACTGTGTATGTTAGGCGGTGATAAGGACTCGAAGGAAAAATAAGGTAAGGGGGACAGAGAGAGACTGAGGAGGGATTTTTTATAGGGTGGTGAAAAAAGGCTGCGAAGGGCAACCTTCCTGCGAAGAGCTCGGGAGCGAGGGAGCAAGCCACGTGTGGTCTGGGAAAGAGTGTTCTGGAGCAAGTACAAGCTCAAGGATCCTGATGTGGGAACATGCTTGGAGCATGTGGGGAGCGGCAGGAGTGGAGCTGGGGAAGCGAGGAAGGGAAGAGGTCAGATCACGTAAGGACTTGGCCATTTTCCTCTGACTGAAAAAAGAAAAACTGAGGAGGATTTAGAGTCTAGGAGTGACGGGTTCTGACGCACATTTTAAAGATTCCTCTGCTTGTTGGGTGGAAGTGGCTGGAAGGGGTAAGGCCAGCAGGGAAGTCCCCTCGGGACGCTATAGAGCAGTCTGTGCAGGAGGGAGTCCTGGTGAGGCTCCAACAGTGAGCTCTTCAGCTCTGCTTCCCGCGGCACTCGAGGGCGCCAGGGGCAGGCGATGAACGGCAGCGCCGGCAGTTCTGCTTCTGGTGGCGCGTGCTCCACACGCAGCGCCCTCGGGCCTCTCAGGGACAAGCAGAGGGGACAGAAGCCGCACTCAGCAGGGCGAGTGTGGTGTGCAGAGACTCCTGCGTTTCCACACCGTCCGGCCATCCCGAGCCGCTCTGCTGTGTGTGTGCGCGCGCACGCGCGTATGTGCATGTGTGTGTGTGTGTGTGTGTGTGCGAGTGCGTGCGTGCGCGCGAGTGTGTGTGTGCGCGGGCGTGAGTGTGTGTGCATGTGTGTGTGCATGTGCATGTGAGCGTGCACATTGCATGCAAATGTGGTGGGGTAACAAAATTGGCAGAATTAAAACATAAGACCACTGAGAATATTACCTCTCATCTGGATTTCTCTTTCTCTAGAAGCTCCTCAAGGTTAGATTTTTTTCTTAAAGTGAAGAAATCCTAGAAAACCTGTGACAATTTCTTTGTCTTAGTCCAGGCTGCTATCACAAATCACCACAGACTGGGTGGCTCAGACAACAAACATTTATTTCTCACAGTTCTGGGCACGGGGAAGTCCAAGATCAAGGAGGCACCGATTCAGCTCCTGAGTGCCCTTCCCCTGCTGTGTGTCGCCACTGGGAGGAGGGCGGACGAGCGCGGAGGGCGTGCCCGTGAGGGTGAGCGCCACTCCTGGGCTCGCCACGCGGCCATTAACACCAGTAAAGCGTAGACAGCATCTATTCCTAATCTTGCTAACACGTATCATCGCAATGCCTTGTGTGAATCCCCTTACGTCGTACACTTAGAGAATTCCTATTTTTTCAAAAAACAGTATCCACATTGATCGCGTAACTTTTATATTTTATATACTATTTTTGTCTTGTAAGCATTCTCAAATATTTTGGTGGAAAAAACACTAATTTTGGTGAGGTGCCCACCATTAGATGGTTTCTCAAAACACCAACTTTTAAAAACATGATCAAATGCTTTCAGATGCTTCAGTAGTATTTTTCTTTGCTTACAGGTTAGTGACTCCCTAGGGTACAGCATATACTAAAATATTATCCTGCATTAATATGTAAATGTGTAGTATAATTATCAGATAAAACAAGTGAACATTCTATTTAATTTAGTTTCTAACATTTCTAAACTGTTGTATATTTAAGAATAAGTTTTCTACATTTACTTCTCAATATTCCCAATAGAAAATCAGTATACAGCTGTTGCCTGAAGGATTAGTTACTACTCAAATTATTGGATCCATATCATCTAGTGTGTAACTATAAGGTTTACATTTTCTTTCAGTTTCCTTAAAAGTACACATTAAATTCAGACGATCTTAATTTCTGCACCACTAGATGGGGAAAATAATTTTCTGTGAATTCACTGTCTCTTCTGAACGACCTCTTAGCAGACGGACTTTGGTTCATTTATTTATGGCCTGCCCCTCCCCCCTTACCCCTTGAACACTGTCTGTCTTGTCCACTTCCATATCCACAGCACGTGGCATGCACTGAGAAGATATTGATGCCGGCTGAATGTATGTGCGTGTGCGCGAATGGCTTCAACACTCTACCCCCTAGCACAGCATGGTGCACAGCACACTCTCAACAACACGTGTGCAATGAATGAATTTACGTTGTGAATTCCTGATACAGTACAGGGCATGGTGGTTAAAGAATGAGTTTGGGGCCAGGTATGGTGGCTCATGCCTATAATCCTAGCACTTTGGGAGGCTGAGGCAGAAGAATTGCTCGAGGCCAGGAGTTTGAGACCAGCCTAAGCAAAAGCAAGACCCCTTCTCTACTAAAGATAAAAAATTAGCCAGGCATGGTGGCACACACCTGTAGCACCAGCTGCTCGGGAGGCTGAGGCAGGAGGATCGCTTGAGCCCAGGAGTTTGAGGTTGCTGTGAGCTAGGTCGACGCCACGGCACTCTAGCACAGGCAACAGAGTGAGATCCTGTCTCAAAAAAACCACAAACGAATGACTTTGGTATTAGGGACTGATAGCTCTGTGTTTTGGTACAATCTTTACCACTCATTGGCTGTGTTACTTTGGACCATTATTTGGCCTCTGAAAGATTTGGTTTCAAAGCCCATCTGTAAAACTGGGCTTGTGCAGAAACACAAAATAGATGCCACACATAAATGACCCCGCCCCTGCCCACACATCACACTCAATAAATGGTAGCAGTCGTCAGGGCCAAGACTAGGGTGAGGCAAGCAAGGCATACATTTTAAGGGGGTGCCAAGGAACTCAGTAATCAAGATAAATAATGTTTACATGAATATTAAAAATCAAAATTGATACAAAAATCTATGTGGAACAAAATATTAACATTTTTCATAAACCCAGGATCAGTATTACTGATTTTTTTTCTTTTGCCTTAGGCTACATTATAGGTTCGCAGGACCGTGGCAGTTAGAATAATTAAGTTGAAAAATGTGCTTTTAATGTTATCATCTCACAAAATGCTTTAATATGTAGCAAATTACTTTAAGCTTTTATGCCTGAGAGCCACAGCCCCTGAAAAAGGCAGCAGAATTTAACCCAGTTGTTTTATCTGGTGTCCTGTGGGCTGTGACATCAGAGTCTCCATCTCTTACCCACTTCTCTCTGCCTGATACCATAACCTTGTCTGAACTATAATGGAAGAGGAAGCAACTCTTTTTGAACTCCTCCTAATAGAATAAAATAAAAAAGTACTATCTGTCAGGCAGTGCATATGCATCATGACATTTCATTAAAACAATTTAAAAAGTAGGACGTGAGCTTTTGATAAAAGATATATTCAATAAATAGTATATATATTATTATATTCTTTTTTATAATTTTATTTTATTTTTCTCAAATTCTGTGGGTACAAATATTATTAGGGTTACATATCTTGCCCCTGCCCCCCCCACCCTGCTCTGCCAGAGCTTCAAGTGTGTCCAGTCTTCAAGTGGTGCACCCTGCACCCACCATGAAAGTGAGTACCCTTCCCCTTCTCCCCCCTTCTACCTGTTCACCTCCCATTAATAATTTTTTTGTTTTTTAGACATTTTGGTTACAGTGTGTTTCTTTGCCTCTCCCTAAAAA